AAATTTATATCTTAATACATTAAACTTCTTTTAAGATAAAACAAAAAGAAAATCATCTGTACGACGTCAAATCCATCTTGAACGTTACTGTATAATTAAATCGAAAAGTCAGATATCTAACCTCGTCTAATATCTACGTGGATGTTGTCTCTGAATAAATGCTGAATCACATTTTAGATATTTTTCAGTTTCATATTATGTATTTAGCACAAGTTTAAGTATATCTAATGTTTGGATATAATCAGATACTTAGAAAAAAAACTCACGTAAGACAATAAAATCCACGAACTTTTCCAGTATTTAGGCCTATGATTCCGTACATGACGTGTCGAAATCTACAATAGATTATATCACTTCGGTAGTTTTGATATGTTTTTTGTCAGGTGTTTGTTGATAAGAAGAACTAATGAAAATTATAAACAATCTTTTCTAATAATAATCATTCATTCGAAAAACTTCGATATTTATTTTTGAAGAAATATTTATATATTACTTGATTTTTTAATGCTTTATCTAATTCATTAATTGGTATTGTCTTTTGAAAATCTCTTATTAATTGAGCATAATATTCTCTTTTATCATGTTCATAATTACAATCGAACATATCAAGTTGTAATTCAACTTTAGCATATATATTATGATCAGTTTGAATAGAATTATTTGAATTTGAATCTTTTTTTGTTGATGTTCCATTTGTATAATTATTATTATGACGTCGATTTGTTTCATCAGATGTTTGAACACGTGAAAGATTCATTTGACCATTTTGTATTGTTGTTTGCCATTGTTGTTCATATGTTTGACAATATGAATCTTAAAAAAAACAAAAATAAATTCATTATTCAGTTTTTTCTTTGATTTATTTTCTTTTACCTGAATAATTGGAATAGCAATCTGTTGAATGTTTTTTTCCATATTGTTTTTCAATTGTATTCTTTACTATCTGACTATTAATTTCACTCGGATGTAAAACACTTTCAGTATATTCATTGCACATACGAATAATTTGACCAATTTCAAACTATAAAACAATTCAAAAACTGATTCTTGTTTTTTTTATTAATTTAATCATACTCGTCTTGGATCTGTAGATTTTTTTATTTCGTCTTCTTTACGTTTCTTAAAATCATTTGATAATAATGGAGATATATCATCAGATACAACATACTATAAATCAAAAAAAAAAAATATTTGAATAGACAAAAAAAATCTGATGTCTTACACGATCACCATTTGCAATTAATTGTTGCCAAGATTCATTTTGCCAGCGATTCTCTTGTTTTTCAGAATCCGATGTACCACAAACAATGCTTGGTTGAAGTTTAAAATAATAACAGAGTGGCTAAAGAGATAAGAAAAAAAGAAAAGAATAGAATTAATATCGAATCTTAATGTGCAAGTGCTTCTTGTATAGAATTTTTCTTCCGAAAAGATCTATAGTTTAGTCATTTTAACCTTTTGAGTGGCATTGTTCGACGATGATAGTTAGAAACTTCTAAATTTGTATGATCATTGTCATTACCGAATGCTGATCACGCAACAGATTTATGCTTCTTTGTCTGGATGATTCGTGAAATATTAGCATTTCAGTTCTGTCGTTATAAAATGTTAATAACTAGTGGTCTAAGAGAGATGAAAATTTTTCTTTTTATCAAAATCTAGTTGCTACCTTCCTCTATCTACGATACAAATTATGAGGATTAACTAGTGAATGGTTCGAGAAATCCATCAACACCTTTTGTGATTAATATTCATTATAATCATGAAAAAAATTTAATAATAAAAATTTGGAGATAAAATATTCCATAGATAAGATTTTGTTAAGAAAGCTTTACATTCGTCCTAACTATAAGTCATTTCATTTATTTTGTATCTTTTTTTTTTTACTTTATAGATACTTGCAAGCAAAATTAATAGCATATGCGTGATCAGACAACAAATTCTCCTTTCGTGAGCTATTCAAACATTTAAAAAAACGTATAGATTTCTGTGTGCTAGTACCAAAAGGGTTAAACATTCTGAGTTTGTTGAAAATGTTGCATAAGATTTAGTGATTCTTTCATGTGTAATGTATACTACACAAATCAATAAGAAAAGAAATTTTGTGCCTACATAGTATTCGGTTACTTGCAAAACCTGCGGACACTCATGGTTACCTTGATTTTAATTGTGAAAGATATCGTTAGTTATCTTGATATTTATTTGTAAAATATCTTGTATAACTAAAAATCAAAGTAACCATGGGTGTCGGCAGTTTTTATAAGTATCCATATTATTTCTATCTAAGGAGATCGACTCATTCGAAAAGTTTCAGGACAGATAGATCTCGATAAATTGAGCAATAATTTTCATAGAATGGAAATTTTCGGATGCTTCTCTATAGGAAAAACTGAGATCACAAGGACTAAAATAGACTACCTTTTTTCTCAGCTGCAATGTGTTTCACAAAGTTGAAAGTTTTCTTTTTTACAGATATTAGATGTTAATTAGGATGTTTACTTTTTATACCTGTTTGTAAACTCCAGTAAAAACCAGTCGTATATCATATTTTGAAACAAAAAAAAGTAGACGCTCTAAATACTTTCTAGTTGTTACAGTGCATTTCTATAACATATATCTCGATACTATCTATTCTGTTTTCTTTGATATTTTCGTTTTTCTTATTTCGTTTCTATTACTTTTCTTTATCCTTGATTGACCTTTGTATTCTTTTCTAATTTTGTCCTTATTTTTTCATATGCGTATATACACGTTTGTTTTTTCAAAGAATAAGCAAAGAGAGAAGAAAATACGTACATCTTTAATTGCGTTCGTTGTTTTTCGTGAGCGCGAACTCTAACACTAGTATTAGTAGGACAAAAAAAACTTTCTGCTCGATCGGAAGTGTTGTGCTTGAGAAATGAGAGAAATTTTACATTTTTTTTTGTTACAAACTAATTCGTTAAGGAAAATGTTTCACGTATTCTTTTTTGACCTATACACTTGTGTCTATTAATTCTTGAAAAATGTCCAATCGATAGAGAAAACTTCGAATCCTAAATAAAGCAGAAAAAAAAGAGCAAAGATAGAAAATCCGAAAATTTTGTGTCAGACAAGGGCAGGCTCTCTCAACACTAATTGCTATAAAAATAGGACGCTTTATATAGCAAATTTCACCGGCTAAGTGAGATACGAAAAATATTGAATGTTTTACTGAGAGTACGAAAAACATGTCTTGAAATATCATAGAACAATTTAGACGACCCTATGTATATTTAATGCAAGTAAGACGAAATATCACTAAGTAGAACAAAGCGATTGTATAAAAAAAAACTAATCTTGAACATCTATTAACTCGCTATTTTTCTGTTTGATTTCATTATTTAATATTATTTATTTATGTTAATTTTTTTTTGTAAAATAACTTACCAATAAAACTCGTTCAATACCCAATCGATTAGTTGGTTTTTCATTGCTATTAATCGATTGTATAGATTCTGGTTGAAATTCATGACGAAGATTATTAGGATATAATAAACACAATAAATAGAATAATGAATAAATAGAAAGAGCAAATATCGATGGTGTATCAAAATAAACTAAAAATATTACATATATATACATATATATGTATTAAAAATAGAAAAAAAACACAAACTTACGATTTGCTTTAACAAAATGATTGGCTGCAAGTTTAAGAGCATCAATTAAAAGTGATATTCGATGATGAATTATATTAGGATTAATAAGAATAATTGAAGCAAGTGTAAGACAACTTAAACCATATATATCAGATTCAAACTAGAATTGTTTTTTATTCTTTCGAAATAAGAAAAACACTCTAAAACAAAAGCAAATATAATTTTCTCACTTATATGAATTAATTGATCAGCATAAGAAGGAAATAAGAGAATACGATTCTGTCGTTGAATATCAAATCGACTACCATTGATAGGTGATGTAGCTAATAATTTAAATATTTCAATAAAAATAATTGCTAAACGGCGACGTGCTCCTTTTCGATGAACATTTGTTAAGGATGATGAAAGAAGAGATGAACGTTGATTATAAATTGATAGATCATCTTCGTTACTATCCATTGTTTGAGATGCTGCATTCCAAATAAAATCGACAAGTGCCTATTTTCAAGATAAAAATTGCATCGGTAATTTGAAAGTAGAAAAGTTGTTAGTGCAATCTCTGCGTGATTAAAATATGAAATATGATTGATCTGTATATATTGTAAATAGAGGTCTAAGCCAATCGGTTCAGTTGCTACCCTTCTTGTAAATAGCTGCTAAAAATTCTAGCAGCCGTTAGGATTAGGATTGATTTTCAAGGATGACCTTGTCTAGTTTCTTATTATCATACTCTTTAATATCATTTCAAGGTTCCACGGAACTAAGAAAATTTTCAGCTATTATCGATTAATGCTTTCGTTTACATCGCTAATTGTAAATCAAGAAATCCTGTAATATATGCTTTAGTTTGGGATTTCCAACGTACTGATGTTTCTGTGATGAAAGATGTTATTCGTCATAGGTTACAGTAACTTTGAAAAAAGGAATCAAAGACATATATTAAATATCTTATGGTAGAAAAAACATTTTTATTACGAATTTTAAGTAGAGTGAAACAACCAGAATTCAAAAACCAGCCTGTTAGGCACACCTAGTAGATATTTTGAATCTGTATATCGTCTGGTATCGATCATCGAAGAGGTCTTTTAATTTGAGAAAAAAAATATAGAAGTTTTTTCGAAACTAATTTTCTGAATAGCTAAACTGAGTAAAATGAACGTGTACTCTTAACACCAATCTAGAATATCAGAATGTTCTATTCTATGTCCTCTGTCACTACGGCTAGCATAAACGCTCCTGAACCACATAGCAAGTTTTCCAAAAAGTCTTGACTTTTCCGCTAAACTTGTTTTTTTTTCAGACTTCAAAGCATTTCTATTGAAAACCAATGGTATATTCTGAAGCTACATCGGATGATGTATGACACAACACATTTTCTCGAAAAAATGTGAGCAAAGATTTCTCTCAGATGTTTTTCACCGAAAAATACTTTATTTTCTTAAAAAATAGTCTTCTGAAGGGGAAACTACCCGAACCAATATCTGTCGTTTGAGCTCCTATTGGATTCACAAGGAGATCTTAGTAAGACTAGAAAAATCCTAGAAAGATTCATACACATGGTTTTCAGAGTCAAGTTATCATCGTTTTACTGAATTTTCGATCCAGCTTTAGGTATTTCTCGGAAAATCAAATAAAGGAATTTCGATCTGAAACTTTGCCCATGAGCAAGTCGAATGACTGGTAGAATATCTTGAATGTTACTTTGTCAAGATATTGAATTTCCAAAAAATAGTCGTTTATCACAAAAATGAGTTTACCTTAAAATTCAGTATCGTGGCAAAGTAACATTCGGAATATTCTATTACCAAATCCTAAATATCAGTCTAGAAGCTAAACCTACTCTTATTCTAATTCAATCCGGAGTATAATATTCAACAAGATTTATTTTCACTTTTGTTCCGTCATTGTAAGAGACAATAGTTTCAAACAAGAATATAAGGAAATAAAAATTATTATCAATTTTTTAGTGATAAATTCCAAAAAACATAAAAGACTAGTTTTTCAATACTTTGAGGGCATAAATATAACTTTGTTTAGACTATATAGAGCGACAGAGCAAACAATTCGCTACAAAATGAGAAATTGTCGAGTTCTGTGCAACGTTTTTTTAGTTGAGATACGTCAATGTTACGAAAGCATCTAAAATCGTATTATTACTGTTTTCTATAGAAAAATGATTAATCAAATTGCTGTGTATCAGCCAAAAACATCGTAAAGAACTTGGCAATTTTTCATTCTGTAGAGAATTGTTTACTTTATCGTTCGATGTTGTCTAAACAAAATTATATTTACGTCCTCTAAGTATAGAAAAATTAGTCTTTTTAGTTTTCTAGAATCTCTATCTTTGTAAGTCTGATAATAATTTTTATTTTTGGTATGTGTCTGTTTGAAACGATTTTCTCTTACGGCAATGGTAAAAATTGAAAATAAACTTTGTTACATAATTTTGATATTCACTGTATAATGACTAATCACCTTGTTTATGTTGATGATTAAATTCAATTACTATCTCATCTCTTCATTTATTTTATATAATTTCAACCAATGCTTTCTCTAGTATTAAAAATCTAATAATCATTCAAGATTTATATAGTCGTTTCAAAAAAAAAAAACATTTTCATTTTAATCAAAAAAAAAAGATATGTTCGTAGCTTTTCTTTAAAATCGAAATATGAAACACACTAGTGTTACTTATTTTTTATTATCAACAAAACATTTATATTATGTGT